CGAGATCGCACCATTGTACTCCAGACTGGGAGACAGAGCGAGACTCCATCTCAAACAAACAAACAAAAAACGATAAAGTAGAAGAATAACATGTAATGACTAGAAAGATAGTAGAGTAAAATATTATCATCAAATTGATAGCTTTATAGCTTTTTAAGGAAGAAAGGGAGAAACAAATGAATATAATGTGCTGCATTATTTAATTCTGTGTAAAATAATGTTTATTGTATATTATATATGTGTATATATAGTCTCTTTTTCTTGCTTATCAGTGTTTTCCAAATTTTTCATAAAAAGCACTGTAACAGTCACGTTATCCATTGCCCATTTATTGTCTTGCTAACAGAGCTCTATTTTATCTGGGATGGCATTACACCAGACCAAGGAAAGGAATCATTTCTTGGTCTCAGTCAATCATAACAAGCTTGCTTTTCATTTCCCCAACACCTCTTGCATATGACCCGTGTTTTTCTTTTTTTTTTTAACCTTAAACTATTAAGGGTTAATGACCCATATCTAATCAAAAAATTCAAGGAGTCGACTGGGAGATGTGCTGCTGGGAAAGTTTTGCTCTTCTGTTAAATGGGACTGATGTGACTGTGCCCACCTCTTCCATTCTTCCTATCTGGAATGCAGATGCTATACTCGGAGTTACCAGCAGTCTTCTAGCAAACTCAAAGGGGAAGAGCATCACTGCCGGCCTTGAACATTCTGAGCCTCTCAACCATCACCGCCAACTGCCTACCTTCAGACTTTTTGTTATGTAGAGAAAGCAAGCCCTCTCGAGACCTGCTACACAACATTGTGTTTGTAGTTGACAATACTGTATCATACACTTCATTTGTTAAGAGGGTAGATCTCAGGGTAAGTGTTCTTACTACAGTTAAAAAAAAAAAGAAAAGAAACACCTCTTTGTTTAAGATGTGGTTTTGTGTTACTTGTATCAATTGTGAGCCAATTTAAATATGAAATACAAATATTTGGAAGTGATTTTCAAAATTAAAAAGTGGAATAAAAGGATGGAAACAATAAGTCCATATCTTATCTGTATTTTCTAGAATATATCTGTAATACATTGTGATTAAAATCTAGTAAAAGTTATTTTAAAATTTACAATTTTCTTGCATACATCTAATCACACGATGCTCATCTCAAGAGACCTGGCAGGCAGGGTAATGATTTGTCACGTGATTCTAGGAAAGCACTTCCTCCTCCTAGAGCCTGGCCTCCCAATCTGTGTGAATTCAACAAATCAGGTGACTCTTGCTGACAGCTGTGTCTAAGGAGCTCAGTGCTCACCTCTGAATCTGACTTTCTCTTCCCTATGGACAATGACTGAAAATATACTCTAGAGAGGGAAACTGCTAAAGAGGTAGACAAACACTCAACTTTCACTGACTTAAAACAGAATGAAGAGGGAACCCTGGGATCACATCTGAATTTTCTTGTAGGTGTTAGAATAACATTTAATGTGATTCTCTTCTGATCCAACTGCCTTTGTAAGAGTGACCACAGTCCAAATCCATCACACATTCTAGCACCCTCTTGAGACACCCCACTATTTTCCATGGTATGTGTCCTCCCTCACTGCAACAAGTGATACAGCCAATTTGCTCAACTATAGGTGGGTTCCAGGTGGTCTTTAGCTGGAGGGCACTGATGGTAGTAGATTTTCAAGACTATTATTGCTATTACTAGCATTTTTTAAAAAAAGATATTATTATTGTTGTTGTTATGAATCAAAGAGGTCTAGCACATAAGGTGCATCTCTGAGGAAGTGGCTGAGATACCCACAAGAAAGCAGACTTGGAATAGGTTGCAAAAGGCCTTTTGCTTCATGGAATAGTGTGAATTGATTACACACATATATACATACACATCTCCAAAGAGATGCTGACAAGTCTTTAGAATGCCCCTTTGCAAAGGCAGAGAATGTGCCTGTCTTATTCACAGCTAAATCTACAGCACTCCAAAGAAGGCAGACCAGGTCACATAGCCCAGACTCAGTAATATATTTTTGCTGAAAAATAAAATGAATTCAAGCCTCTTGGGAGACTTTAACAGTTTAATTTGAATACTGATAGTTCAGACAGATAAATGTAGTTAACACATATAGAGTGCTTACTCACTATCAGACACTGCATTAAATGTTTTTCATGTATTACCTTAGCTGCCTCTCATCCCAGTCCTAGGAAGTAGATATTATTATTAACCCAATTTTATGAAGGGGAAAACTGAGACATAAAGACATTTCATGTTTCATTGAAGACTACACAGCTGGTGAGTGCTGGAGTTGGGATTTAAATACAGGCAGTCTGACCCCGGAGTCTGTGCTCTTAATCAATACCCTATACTGTCTACAGTCCAAAGTAACGATGTAGGTGTACTGACATGGTTTAGCTGTGTCCCCATCCAAATCTCATGAATTGTAGCTCCTATAACTCCACGTGTCAAGGGAAGGGCCAGGTGGAGATAACTGAATCACAAAGGTAGTTTCCCCCATACTATTCTCCTGGTAGTGAATAAGTCTCATGAGATCTGATGGTTTTATTAATGGAAGTTCCCCTGCACACACCCTCTTGCCTGCCGCCATGTAAGACATGACTTTGCTTCTCCTTTGCCTTTCACCATGATTGTGAGGTCTCCCCAGCCATGTGGAACCATGACTCCATTAAACCTCTTTCCTTTATAAATTACCCAGTCTTGGGTATGTCTTTATTAGCAGCATGAGAGAGAACTAACACAGGTGTTAGTGGACAATTAACTTTGCAGGTGTATTTGCATTGTTTGTGCCCCAAAACACAGAATGTACATTTTTTCCTGGATTAACTATGAGCGAAAATGCTCATGGAGTATTTTGGAGTATTTTTTATTAGTCATATAAATAGACCACAACATGGAAATGATGGAGATCATATAATTCAACCACAGCAAAATAACATTAAACACCAAAAATTGTGAGGGGAACACAACATCAGGAATAAAAAGGGGATGTAGGAATAGATTTAAAGGAGATGAAAAATTATAAAGGAGCATAATGTGTAACATTATGCCAATAAATTTAAAAAGGCAGTTGAAAGGAACTTTTGTCTGGGTAAATATAAATTACCCAAAATTGACTCAAGAGGGGTCAGATGATGAATATGCCAATAATCGTCAATGAATTTGAAAAGGTAATCAAAGATCTATCCTTCTAAAATCCTTCAAGCCCAGATGGTTTCATGGGTATGTTCTATTATACCCTCAATGAACAGATAGTTAACTTGATAATTTAAATATTCCAGAGTATAGGAAAATGGAATGCTTCCAAAATCACTCTATACAGTTACCATAATCTTGTACCAAAGCTGAATGAGAACCCTCATTCTCTAAAATGGAAAAAGAAAACAATTTTTATTTACTAATATAGATGGAATAAACCTTATCTTAATATAAATAAATGATTCCAATCTAGCAGTGTATTTGTATAAAATAACATACATTAACCAAGTAGAGTTTGTTTTGAGAAATATAAAGTGTTAAATGTGTCATTCAAATCAGTGAGAGAATGGACTTTCTGAATTGGTGTTGGGACAATTGGGCTTTCATCTTTGTCAGATCCTTACATTACCCTGTGCACAAATACAATTTCCAGATGAACTGATAATCTAAACAACAGAGCTATACGTTACTACAACATTTAGGGAACTGTATTGTGATTCTGCGATACGAAGCCTCCCTAGGCAAGATGGGAAAGATGAGATATGTATTTGACTACATAAACCTTGAAACTGCTTTAGAGAGAAAAACTCCATAAACAGTAGACACTCATTCCAAATAATGGGTACTAGGAGGGTACATTTCTCTAAGTGATACTGTAGACACACAATATTTTTGCAGTTAAAAGACAAATTGATAATCCTCCATCCAACTTGATTTTAAAAATTGGGAATGGAGCAGTAGCAAACACAAATAAATAATATTCGCAAAAAGAAGGAGGCATATCAGAGAGAACATATCACAGAACATATCAGAGAGAAAAACAAATATAAGGCAACACTATTTGTAGCTTTGTGCCAGAAAATTTGAAAACTTAGATGAGACAGGCAACATTCTAGGAAAATATAAATTACTAAAAACCACTCAAGAAGTAGGGTTTTTAAAAAATAAGGCAAATAGAACCCCTGTGTCTAGAAACATGTATCTAGACAAAAATGCTGGTTACCTCTGGAAGGAGAGGGCACTCTCTTTTTTTTTTGGAAAGGATTTTAGTTTTATTTATTTATTGGACAGACTATTTTTTGGTAAGTGTCATTATGTTGCCCAGGCTGGTTTTGAATTCCTGGCCTCCAAAGATCCTCCTGCCTTGGCCTCCCAAAGTGCTGGAGTTACAAGGATGAGTCATTTACTTTCTAAATACAGTGCCCTATGCTTTCAATCATATACGGCAACTATTAACCACTTTATAAAAAGGAAACAAAGATTGTCCACGAACGACTGCACAGGAGGCCAGGGAATAGGTGGCCGGTGGGGTAAAGCATGGCTTTGGAATGAAATCCAACGGCCGTGGAACCAGCCCTGATCATCAGACTGTGCCCCACCCAGTCTTGAGGATCACACTGGCACCCTCCTCTCTCCCTCTCTTTCCCACACTGTGGACAGACAGCCTGAGATTCTAGCGCGTGTGTCCTGGAAAGCCAAGGAGGGCAGGGCCGCATCAAGAACAAAGGAGACTCGAGTTCAAATCCCTGCCAGGGTCTGAGACCTGCAACGTCAGGCTTTGGGAGCGTCCTCTCACTTCTCCAGACCCCAGGGGTGGCTGCGCCTGCTCTGCGCTCACGCTTGGGGGTCCAGGAGCCCCCGGCTAAGTTGCTGAGCGAGTCAGAGCTCCAAGACCTGGGTCGAAGGGGCGGGGCTGCGGGCGCCGCGGCTGCAGGTAGGCGCTTCCCACCCCCGCGGCCCCCTCCTTCCTCCTTCCCCCTTCCCCCTTCCTCCTTCCTCGCAGCTCGCACACCCACACAACCCTCGCCCGTCGCGGCTGGAGAGCTGCTCTCGGCGCCAGCGGGCAGCAGCGCGTCGTCAGCCAGCACAGCCAGCCGAAGACCAAGCCGGAGGGCTGGGGCTGCGCAGGAGACCTGCACACCCGCGGCGCGGAACCCGGGCGATTTCTGTCTTTCTTTCATGCTCCTTTCTTTCTCTTAAACCCAAACAAAACCAACCCCCAAACTCCCCTGTTCCCACCGCAACTTGGAGGAGCGGTGGACTGATATGAAGGAACTGACGCAGAGGTTTTATTCACGAACCTTGAAGAAGTTCTGGGCAAGTGACTCGACAGGACCCGCGGGGCCTGGGGTAGCCCCAGCTCCCGGGGATAGTTCAGTCTGGCAGTGCCCTCTGGCAGCCAGCCCGCAGCTGCGGGTAGGGGTGTGGGCTGCCCCCTGATTTCGCTTTGGGAATAATAATGACACTACCCGTAGCCTGGATCCAGGTGGCCTCGCTCGGCGATTGTCCCCACCAGGTAAGCGCACCCCAGTGGTCTCCACTGGTCTCCTGGGTGGGACCTCGAGCTCCCGAGAAGTCAGTCCATGCTGTTTAGCCACAGGCAGGAGTGGGGGACTGGTAGGAGAGAGCTTGCTTTTATCACAGGAAATTGTGGGAGACGGGAATGGAAGGCGGATTTAACATTTTTTTATTTCTGCATTGACGCGTGGGGACGAGATGCGTAGGGGCCTGGATTTTTGTAGGAAATGGTTGCGGAGCGGGGCTGGGTGATAGGTGTCTGGATTTTTTCAGGGACTGAAGGGGGGAGAAAGGTCGTAAATTTTTGCAGAAACCTGTAAGGAACTGGTGGTGAGAGGTTATGATCCTGACGATGCGCACGAAATTGTAAGAAGTAGGCATCTAAGCATTTCTGAGAAATGATGGGAGAAGCACTTACCGCCCTGGTCTCACCTGACCCGCTCGCTCGGCCTGGAAGATGCCCGCAGGCACCGGCAGTAAAGGACGGCGGCACTCTGCGCCCGCGCGGCCGGAGCCCGGAGTTCAGCACCTCGGACAGAGCCCGGCCGCCCCAGGCGCGCAGCAAGCGCGGAGCCGCCAGGTGCCCTGGCCTCGGGCCACTGTCGCTCTCAGTCCAGGGCGGCTACCTAACGCCGCCCCCAGCTCCGCGCCAGAAAGGGCTCTCGAATCGCAAAAGCAAACGTGTTCGACTTCTGATCTGCTTCGAACTGCTTCCCGTGACTGCAGAAGGAAGAGGCGGAGTGTAAAGACATCTCCCAAGCTTCCGCGAAAACCACAGCCAAGCGGTGTGGCCTCCCTGGGTTTCGGAAGGTGTACCCAAACTTCTCAAAAAATCTAGCATTTATTAAGCGCTTACCATGTGCCAAGGTGCCGTGCTAAGCCAGTGCACCACAAATTTGTGTCCTATGATTATCCCCATTTTACAGATGAGGAAACTGAAGCAAGAGCGACCGAGTAACTTGTCCAGGTTTATGGAACTAGCAATGGCTGCGCTCTTCAACTCTGCCACATTGCAGTGGTGGGAAGATGTGCTTGAGTGGAATCCCTGCGTGAAATAGCCCTGAACTTGGGATCAGAGGAACAGAGTTTAAATCAAAGCTGTAGCGCTTACCAATCTGTGCCCTTAGACAAAATTACTAAATGTGTCTGAACTTCAGATTCTAAGTATCTATAAATACTTGATAATGCTTTCCTTGCAGAAGTGCCAGGGGAGGTTGGCCAAGGAGACCATGTCTGTGGAAAGACTGGCAAACTGGGAATTGTGTTGGGCGTTAGAGATTGAAAGGAGGGAGCAGGTAACAGAAGAGAAGGAGAATTGGTCGTGAACACTTCCCTCAGCACACACCGAGGGGGCTAGGCAGAGAGAGGGGCTCAGTGGCAGGAATTCTGGATGAGCTTAGTTCAGTGTGTAATAGCCTCTTAGATTTTTTAACAGGACTTTATAGAGAGTGTGGATATATTGCCTATCATTTGATCCTTATAACAATCTTGTAAGGTAGGCAAGACTGGTGTTATTCTACTCGTTTGGCAAAATGATGCTTGCCCGAAATTACTCAGGTACTTAGTAGCAGAGATGGGATTAGAATCCAGGTCTTCCACCTCTCTAGCTTATAAACCTTCCACATGGACTGGCACATCCTCAGGAGCTTGGATTATGGGGCAGTTACAGCACTAAAATGTATTTAGACAAGTACTTTAAATATGTGACATTGATGATTTTTAAAACCATTTTGAAACAGCAACTTCATATGGATCAATCTCATAAATGTTTATTGATCATATTCTGCTTTGTTCCACAAAGACTTTAAAGCAATTTATAAGGATCCACAAGATGTCAGCTTTGCATATATTAGAAGTACTCAAGAAAACAGAGGTGAAACAAGATTGAGGCTATAACCACAGATAAAATGATTACAAAGTGCTTATATTATAAAGTCCTAGAAACTTGCTCTGATCTCTAGGCACTAGAAAGTGTATATCCAAGCTCTTTCTCAGAGGTCTAGGAACTTTGAAGGCATTGGCAAAAGTCTGTAGACCCTTCTTTTTTGTATAATTCCTTCCCTTACCCTCTGGGTGATCTTCACTGCGACAAACAAGGAATGTTTAATTGGAAATCCAATGTCAGTGTGACTCAAAGAAGGGGAAATAAAGTGTGTGACATTGTATCTGCACTAAGGTAATTGTTAGTTACATAATTTATAATGGCTCACGTTTAATTTATAAAGCACACCATACTTTAAAGTTTACATAAAGGTCTACACCAATTAGCTTACTTCGGCTTTCTAACAACTCTGAAGAGATAAGCAGCTAGGAAGTCACAGGAAGGACAAAACCCCAGCATCATGACTTTATATATCATGTATTTTACTTTTATACACAAGCCCGCATCCCTACACAGGCCAGTTAAGTAACCTGAAGGTATGAATCAGGCCAATCATAAGACTGCAGAGTATGACAGGTCAGTGAATTTTCAAACTGAACAGTGAATAATCCATCTTAAAGCATTCAAAGAAAATTTAAAACACAGCGCCAGCCAAGCAAGACATGGCTGTGGGATAAATTGGCCTTCAGACCTTCAATATGTAATCTTGGCCTAAACAACTCAGACCAAAGTTTCAAGAAGGCATCGAAGTGAAAGATCCCGAATTCAAAAAGATAAAAGCTTCAATCCCTGTCTCTAAACAGGGAAGATTGGACAAGATGGCTTCTCTCAGCTTAAAAAATATAAGACGATCTTAGTTTTAGGGACAATAAAATAATCAAAGGACTTTAGGACAAAGATACCAAACACTTCCGTCTACTTGTTGCCTCCATAAAAGAAGACATCATTTTAATTTTTGACACTGGTAATATTTTATCCTTCAGCATTTCTCCTCCAGCCCCTGTGCCCTTGTAAAATACATTGGCCACCATTAAAATAAAAATGAGTCTGGCAGAAAACAGCCCAGAGAGGTGAAAGGGATGGTAAGGGTTGGGGGGCAGGGGGTGGGGAGAGAGGGGGAGGACAGCAAGGGAGGAACCAGGCAAAATTTGCTCACTTCTCAGTTTACTCTTCTTATGAAACATGAAAAAGAAACCACTTTATATTTGCTAATTTTTTAAGACAAAAATATTCTCCCCAGAGAAGCCTTTCAAAGTGGGTGGGGTTTCCACATTCTAGGAACGCGTCAGCTTTTGTCAACCCAGATTGCTTCTTTTCTCTCCAACAAGCTTAGAGATCCTGTAAATCATCTAATATTTCCAATAATAGGTGTTCTTAATATTTATTCACTGTGATGCACAAAAGGAGATACATTTTCAAATTAAGGTAAATTAGATTTTGTTGACACTTTCGTCCAATGGACCAGTATTCAGTTCTACCTTGCAAACATCTCCTCAGCTTGACTCTTCCTCTATCTCCCTGCTGTGCCGTTTCTGAAGCTCTTCCTCTATCAGAGGCTCCTAGGAGACCCCCCAGCCTCCCAATTTATCCCCCACATTGTGGTCAATGATCATGTCATTCTCTTCCTTAAAATTCTGTACTGGTTTCCTGTTTCCACATAACAAATGTCAGACTGGAGGACAGGCTGCAAGATCAGAACTTTGAATCTGATCTCTCTAGACCCCCTCATATTTGCTTGCTTCATCAATGCACTTCCCACCACCACCATGCACCAATCGTCAAGTTCTTGAAATGTCCATGTTCTGCTACCTTCCGCCTTTGAACTTGTGCTTACCCCTGAATGTAATGGCTTCCCTCTTTTGGTTCAACAAATTTCCACTCATGTTTTTCAAGTGTTGGCCCAATTTTATTCTTTTTGTGAGTCCTTTCCTAATCTGCACTCTGAGTCCCTCCTGGCACTCTTGTCTCCCTGTTATATATTTGTCTTCCATTCTGGGACTTATTACTTTGCACTACAATTATGTCATGCAGAGGCTAAGAACACGGTCTTTGGAGTTAGACTGCCTGGATCTGAATTCCAGCTCCACAACAGATTGCCTGGGTGATCTGGGGTAAGTGACTACCTTCCTGAGACTCAGTTTCATTTTTGATAAAATAGAGATAATAATAGTACCCACCTCATAGTATTGCTGTAAGGATTAAATGACATAATGCATATAAAGTGTTCAGCACATTGCTTGGCATGTGGCAAGCATACCACAAATGTTTATTACTATCGTTAAAACATACGTCTGCCTTCCTTCTAAATTGTAAATACCTTAGCAACCATTCCTGAATTTTATACATCTCTTTATCCTTAACACCTAGCGTGGAGTAGTCAATATATGTTTGATCATGAATGAATAAGCGAGTAGATCGTTAATACATGTTTGATCATGAATGAATGAATGCACAAGTAATGCCATTGTTTTAGTCAAGGTTTACTTGGTTGTAAGTAACGGAAGTTAATTCAAGCCACCGGAAACAAAAACATGCTAATTTATTAGAGCGCTTCTAAGGTGTTCATGGACTCCAAAGACAGTTGAAACTTGAGAAGAGAGGAAAAGTGCTCTTTCCCTGCCACTTGTCTCAGCTTCTCAGTGTGTTTACTTCATTCTTCTTCCTCTGCATGTCATCTTTTCTGCTTCTCTGCACTTGTGGCAAACCCACAAAGGCAGCTCTTACATCCAGAGTGCCCTACAAACAGCCCAGCATAACTGGTGTTTCTCATCTCAATTTCAAAATCCACCCAAGTTTAAGTCAGTCTTGTACATGGGGCAAGTCAAATAATATAAACCATCAGCCTCACTCTGTGTGTCAGGGAAGGCAGAGATAATATCAGAAAGAAAGCGTCACTGTAGCTTGTGAGAGGTTGTCAGAGTCACACATTGATCCCTGAATGACCATGGGCAAGCCACTTCATCACTCTTGGCTTCAGTTTCCTCATCTGTGAAATGGTAGGAAAACCTTCATGAAAGGGGCATTTCATGGTTCAGGGGCGGCAGTTAACCTCAGTCTGGAGCAAAAACATGCATATTAACAGTTTATTCGGCTTAAACCCTGGGGAATAGGAATGAAGAAAAATGAAAAGTATGCAAGGGAGGAGGAAAAGCAAACACAAGGAGATACATTATTGAGCTAGACACAGCTTCATGACAAATGCACCGATTATTCCACGGTATGGAAATTGTATCATCAATTGCATTCTGGAACAGGCAGTTGGGTGAGGAGAGGGAGAAGCGTTCACGTGACATCTCTTTCCCATCCTCTATTTCCTGCTGGTCAACATCTGTTCTACAAAGGGTTAACTCCCTCCTACTTCTTGGTTGAATGACCTAGTTTTTCCAGGCAACTGCTGGAGAAAGTCAGGCCAGAGTCAGTTTCTTCTGGTCAGCAGAAACCAGGTGTAGGGGTCCACTATTTGTAGCAGACAACAGCAGCAATGGCCTGACACTAAAACTGTGGGAAAAGTTTGGACTTTGCTAAGCCCACTCAGGCAAGAAAGCAAGGTAAGTGTGGTACACCCAAGACAGGCAAAGTAGGCGTGGCTATGCAAATCTGGGCTGATGCAAGCATTTAGTCTGTAATTTGTGAGGCTATTGTCCACTGTGGCTATGTAAACGCCAGTCTTTTAAGCCAAGTATTCTTTTTGTTTGTTTGTTTGTTTTGAGACAGAGTTTCGTTCTTGTCACCCAGGCTGGAGTGCAATGGGGTGATCTCAGCTCACTGCAACCTCCACCTCCTAGGTTCAAGCAATTCTCCTGCCTCAGCCTTCTGAGTAGCTGAGATTATAAGCATGCGCTACCATGTCTGGCTAATTTTTATGTTTTTAGTAGAGATGGGGTTTCACTATGTTGGCCAAGCTGGTCTTGGACTCCTGACCTCAGGTGATCCACCTGCCTCACCCTCCCAAATGCTGGGATTACAGCCGTGAACCACTGTGCCCTGCCAAGTGGCACAGTGGCACATTTTATTCTTAAACACAGGGGTTTATTCTTATTTTATTCTTAGACACAGGGCACATTTTATTCTTAAAATGAAAAGTGTAGGATTATTGCAGCGTGCTAACAGTTCACGTTAGCCCCGCACATTTTTATCTGGGCTACAAGTGAGGTAAGAACCTGATTCTGTCCTCAGACAAAGCTCCTGCATTTCATCATTTAAGGAATTTCAGTTGGGAGGCCCACAGTGAAAAAATGGTTATAGACAACTTGCAAAACAAGTCTCTGAGCACACAGAATATTATGACTGTTGGTGGGCTAGATATAGATATTTCAGACCACAGAAAAGAACTCAGCTGCCTTATCTCCAACCTGCTGCCTCCTTAGGTGCTGAAGGGCAAGAATTGAAATAGGGACACGACCTGAGCATAGCAGAGGAGGCGACCACTGATTCCAGCTGAAGGGAGAGAAGCATTCTTCTGCATATACCATGTTCTTTCCTCCCTTCCTTTCTTCTTTGCCTCCCTTCCTGCTTCTCTTCCTCCCTGTCTTGACTTTGAGCTAGACTAGAGATAAGCGATGCACTGCACACAACGTAAAATGTAACCCGATTATCCATCCATCCTCCTTCTCACCTTTTTTCCTCCTTTTCTCCATCTTTTCCTTTAGCCTACTTTTTAATTGTCACACAGCTGAAAAGGGAGAAAGGACAGTACTTCTCCCTTGAGGGGTACAAGGTTCTATGGAGGGGGCTGACCCAGGTGATTAACAAGATTGATATTCAAAGAAAGCTGCAAAGTATTAAGGAACACAGGGGTTGTGGTATCTAGTTTTGCATATTTATGTGTGTGCTTGCAGGTGTGTAAGAGAAAAAGAGACAGAGCATATACAATATGGTGTATGATATTCCAGAGTACGAATATACTACATTTTCTTTATTTTCTTCTTCTTTTTTAAGAGATGGAGTCTCACTCTGTCACTCAGGCTGGACTGCATTGCTGTGATCATAGTTCACTGCAGCCTTGAACTCCTGGGCTCAAGCAATCCATCTGCCTCAGCCTCCTGAGTAGCCAGGCCTATAGGTGCAAGCCATCACACCCAGCTTTTTCTTTTTTAGAGGGAGGGTGTCACTATGTTGCCTTGGCTAGTCTCAAACTACTGGTCTCAAAAGATTCTCCCTAAGTGCTGGGATTAGACTTGTGAGTCACCATGCCCAGCCTATTTTCTTCCTGATCGGTTGTTTCCAGTTTTTGTCTTTTATGAATAGTGCTGCTGATGTCTTTTGGTACACATATTAGTTTATTCTTTTCTATGCTTGGCCCAGGGTCTGGGTGTTTCTTCCGCAGGTCTCACCTGGGCTCCCTAATGCAGTCGCAATCCTCTAGGGGCTGGCTGGGGCTGGCTGGGCTGAGACTGTCTCACTCACATTCTTGCAGTTGGTTGGAGCTATCAGCTAAAACTTCATGTGCCCTTCCTGGTGGGTACTCCAGACTTCTTTACACAGCAGCTGGGTTCCAAGACAGCAAACTTGGAAGCTGCAAGCTGTACTCAGGCTTTGTCTTGAAAGTCACACAACGTTACATTTTATAGGTGAAAGCAAGTCACAAGGCTGACTCCTAGTGTACGTGCAGGATGGGAGGACCTTGTGGCCATCATTTGCAAACTACCACAGGTATAAACCTAGGTATGGAATTACTGTGTCAGAGTTCAGTTTAGTTCAATTTATTTATACTCCCAACAGGTTCCTGTTGCTTCCTGTCTGCATTCCTCTTGGTATTGTCAGTCTGTCTAATTTTAGCTATTCTAAAATGGTATTTTGTTTTGCTTTAATTTGATTTTCCTTGAGTGCTAATGAGGCTGAGTATCTTTTTATGTGTTTATTGGTCATTTGTGTATCCTCTTTTGGAGGAAGTGATTTGTAGGAGTTCTTTATATAGTCTGAGGATGAGTCACTGTAATTTTACTCAGCCCTCCCTCTTTGATCTTGAGTGATTTTCCTCTTGAGCACAAAAGAAGTAACATTTGAGCTGAAGTTTGGGGGATGATGAATAATTAAAGAAGAGCAGGGAGGCCTTAGAGTTAGAAACATGAACAGTGCCAAGAGGAAGCACACAGGAAGAGTGGTGCATTGAGAAGTGAGATTTGAAGATAGAATGTGAAGATGTGACTGGAGGGGCAGGGAATGAGTCTAGAGAGGTAGGCTGAGGCCAGGAGAAGAAGGACCCCTTTGACGAAATGGAAAGAAGCATGTTTTCTCTGGAAATTCCACTCATTTATCTAGTCCTTGGAAATTCTTCAATTCTGCAGAGTTCAGAGACTGACAAGCTTATTGATGTCTAGGGCTTTAACACAACAATGGTACGTAGAACCGCAAAGGAATAAAATGATTGAAATTGACAGAAAGAGAGGAAAGAGAAAGAGCATCACACACAAGCACACACAGATCAGTAGGAGAGTGAGAGAGAAGAGGGGAAGGAGATGGAGAGACAGAAATGGAGACTTCTTGTCAATGTATTTAATAAACACACAGTGCTCTCGGATTATGGTAGATTGGCAGGAAATCCAGCAGAACACAAAACACAAGAACAGGAGACTCACATAGTTATCAGAACAATGCATTTGAAGAAGCAAAAAGATACACACTAGACTCTTAACCATGGTTACTTCTGAAGAGGGGGGAGAGTGACTTCAAGGAGGAATGGGAGATGAATAAAGAAGACCTCTTCCTCTTTAGATACCTACATGTAGCTTGGTAGCTTGGTTTTTTAAAAATAGCAATATCTATTCATGTATTAAGTTGTTCAAAGGGATGTATATATATCTTTCAATCTCAACCAAGAAAATCTTTTGCCTTCTAACTTAACAGAGTAATATAAAATAACTGCTTAGGAGAATAGAGTGAGAGAAAGAATGATGTGAATCAGATGAGGAGGAAACTCGGGCATTGTGGCAGGTAGACCACATGAGCCATCTGCTCATGAGGAGCCTCAAGGCACAAAAAGTCTATGTGACGGGGTTGTGCTGGCAGAGACACGGCCAGTGTGGTACCCATGGGCTGGCAGGGCATCAAGACTGGCATGCCCATCTCTCCTTATTTATGAAGGGCCTCTCAAGCAACACATAGGTTGGAGATTTTGAGTACAGGAATTAGGGAGCTGGCAAAAGAATCAAAACAGAAAACAGGTTTGACAAACCTCAGCTGAGAAAGCTTTGGTCTGAGCTGTATTTCCAAACATTTGTGAGCAAAAATGCAATCCCCCCTCCATTCTCTGCCTCCTATCAGTTCAATCAGAGGGAAGAACATAGCATGGCATTATTCTGAATAAGGAGAACACAAATTCTGACACCTGCTGGAAAAGTGAGGACTACAACCCAGAGAGGGATAACGAGAGTGACTCTGTTTTACAATTGGTTTCACTTCCCACCCCCTCAACCCCCATTGCAATAATAACACATATTTATTTTGGGAAAACTGCAAAAAGAAAAATATGAAACCACTCATCATCCCACTGCCCAGAATAAGGATCAACACTCTGATGTGTTTCCTAATAGTCTTTCCGAGGCACACCGATAACAACACATTAAACAATTATTTATGAGGCACCTATTCATTACATGTGAATCACTGCTCAATGCTGAGGATACAGCACTGAAGAAAATAATCGCAAACCTTTTTCTAAGGAATGCAGAGTTCTACATTTGTGATAAGGGCTGTGCAGTCAACACAATAACATCTTGCATTGAAATAAGTATTTACTCTATGCTAGGCATTATGTTAAGTGCTTTTCATGTGAGTGTTTTGTACACACTCTCTTAAAGAGTCTTCACAATGACCCTATGAGCTAGGTTAGTACTATCCCTTTCCCGACCCCGACACACTCATTACAGATGCAGAAACTACTCAGCAATGTTAGATAAGTTGGCCAAGTCAATGTAAGTAGGGATCAGGTTGGGATATGATTGTACCCAGACCGTGTAATAACCATGCCACACAGATCTGCTGTAAAAGATATAACATTTGTTCCCTCTTCTTCCTTTGCTAGGTTTGATTGCCACTGCGGCTCAGATACTCTAAACTGTAGCCAATATGATGGATGATGACACTGAACTGAGGACTGATGGAAACTCTTTGCTGAAGGCTGTATGGCTGGGGAGGCTCAGGCTGGCCAGACTGCTCTTGGAAGGGGGAGCTTACATCAATGAAAGCAATGACAAAGGCGAAACAGCTCTCATGGTGGCGTGCATCACCAAGCACGTGGACCAGCAAAGCATCAGCAAGTCCAAGATGGTGAAATACCTGCTGGACAACAGGGCAGACCCCAATATCCAAGATAAGTCTGGCAAGACCGCCCTCATCCATGCGTGCATCAGAAGAGCTGGAGGAGAAGTGGTCTCCTTATTATTGGAGAATGGAGCAGACCCCAGCCTTGAGGATCGCACTGGGGCTTCAGCTCTGGTTTATGCAATAAATGCAGATGACAAAGATGCGTTGAAACATCTCCTCGATGCCTGCAAAGCCAAAGGGAAGGAGGTGATTATTATCACAACAGATAAGTCGTCTTCAGGCACCAAAACCACCAAACAGTATCTTAATGTCCCGCCTTCACCCAAAGTAGAAGACAGGCAGTCGCCTCCACTGTGTGCATCTCCCTCTGACATAGAGCTGAAGGCCCCAGGCCTGGACTCTCCACCCGCTGAGAAGGAAGATCGCTTCTTCAGCCTCCAAGCAGGGCATCCAAGCAGTTGCAACACCTCCAAGGCTCTTAATGAGCCTGGATCACCGACCAGGAAAGTCAGTAATCTCAAAAGGGCCCGTTTGCCCCAACTGAAGAGGCTCCAGTCTGAACCTTGGGGCCTGATTGCGCCCTCGGTGCTGGCAGTCTTGGCGCGTCAGGACGAGACCCATGGTGCCAGCACAGACAACGAGGTCATCAAGAGCATCAGTGATGTGTCCTTCCCTAAAAGGGGGCCCCTCTCCAGAACCAATAGTATTGATAGCAAAGACCCTACCCTTTTTCACACAGTCACAGAGCAGGTTCTAAAGATTCCAGTCTCTTCAGCACCGGCATCCTGGAAAGCAGCCTATGAAAAAGGTCAGGCTCCCCACCCACGTCTGGCCAGGAGAGGAACGCTCCCTGTTGACCAAGAGAAGTGTGCTATGGGTCCGTCAGGGCCCTCTGCTCTCAAGGAGCCAGCCTCCTTCAAACGGCTGGAAAATGACCTCTACGACTTAGATTCACAGCCAGGGCCTGACCCTCCCAACCCCATTGTCCTTGAATCCAGCAAAGGACCTTTAGATAGAAAGAAGCTCAACAGCTCCCATTTGTCTCTTTTCCATGGCTCTCGGGAGTCCCTGGACGCCGTGCCTAGCACATCCCCCAGCTCAGCACGCCGCAGGCCTCCACATCTTCTAGAACGACGAGGATCTGGAACTCTGCTCCTCGATCGCATTTCTCAAACTAGGCCTGGCTTCCTGCCGCCTTTAAATGTGAATCTGAACCCACCTATTCCGGATATTAGATCTAGCAGCAAATCTTCTTCCCCTCTTGCTAGTGGCTTTAAATCTATGGTTCCTGCTGCTCCAACTTCACCAAAGAGAGTTGACTTAAGAAGTAAAAAGAAGCTCCTCAGAAGGCATTCTATGCAAATTGAACAAATGAAGCAGCTGTCTGATTTTGAAGAAATCATGACCTAGAAGTTTTAGAAAGGCTTAAAAAAAAATCTATGTAGTTTACGGAAGGGGCTATAGATGAGACTGCTTCCTGATCATTCCTTAATGTTGAAGTGTGGTCACTTCAGAAGGTATGAAAGCAGGTTGCTGCTTCACCTCTGAGAATAATCCCCGGGTTTTTATAGGCCTACTTGAAAAGAGCTCAGGATAATTGGGTTTTGAAGATAAAAATTTTAAAAATTCTCCAAAGAAAGAAAGCCTTTGAGTTTGAAGGTAACAGAGAGTACAGTGTTCTAAACTGAGGACACCAGTAATTTTCTATTAGACAAACAGAAAGCAAGAATGTAAATCAGGAGGTAGTACTTGGAGTACTTCATTTGTAATAAATCTATTAAGTGCCTACATAGAAAATGAGGCTTTAACATTTGTTAGAATGTACAAAAACCCCAAACCAACCCTTCAGTGACTAAATCTGGGTATCTGGCTTCTATCTGATGCAGTAGAGGCAGATTTCCCCCATGGAAGAGGCTCTGGCCTGTGGGTCCTGGCCCTGACTCTCAAGGAACTGTAAATCGCGGTGTGGTTAAAATTGTTTAGCTCTCCAGTGATATACCCTGTTCACATACTAATTTGTGTGTACTCTGAGTACCCAAATAGCCAATCCGTGTGGCCCCTGAATTATGATATGTCATGGTAGCGGATGCCTTAGAGACAAATCTTGCTCTGGGAATGAAACTTTCCCCAGACACAGGCTCTTGTGTTGAAATCTTGTGAAAAGCAGTCAAGGTTAACTAACTTGGAGTTGAATGTTATACAATTATAGATTACGGCTATAAGAAGCATTTCTAGATTATTCTCAAAACTCAAAGGACAACTGAGGATGGGGTATGCATAGATTAAAAGGTAAAGTACGTGATTCCCAGGTTAGAAGCAGTGGGGACCATTCATTTTTCAGCCTAAAGATTTTAGTGGATGCAAACTGTCATTTTCCCTTCAGTTATCTAGGTAATTGAAGAAAAATCTGATTTCTTCTCTTCCTGAATTATCTAGGTGAGAAGAGATTTGCAGAAATAACCTGTGCAGCCCTTTTAGGCTGCTTTGAGCAAACCCAAGAAGGGAAGTAGAAACCTAACACATTTGGTATAATGTCGCCACATCTTAGATGAATATATTTTTGGCTATTCCCATTTATGTTTCCCCTCTTGCTGCTGAGATCTATTTGCTCTATAGTTAAAAAGCTCAGTAGTTCCTGAGGACAGCATCATGTAGAGGGAAGCGTAAGGGCTTTGAGTTTGACATATTTGGATTTGCATACCAGTCTTACCATTTACCAGCTGTGTGACCTTGAGCAGGCAGCTTAACTTTTCTGAATCTCTGTCCCCTCATATGTAAAATAGGATTAGTAATGCTTCACCGTACAGGGTTGTGGTGAGAATTAAATGACACAGTGTATGAATGTGCCTGCCATTGTGCCCGGCACAGATAGAAGTCACTGGTTAAGAAGCAATTTCAATTTATTTGAGATTGCTGAAGCAATATCTCAAATAATATACCTACTACACAAAATGGAATAAAGTTTACCTGGAAAAGTTCAAGTATCTCCATGAGATCCCCAGTTACTTGTATAAGTACTGATCTCTAAACTCATGCGTAAAGTAAAAAATTCTGCCACATAAAATCTACATATGATACAATTTTTCAATAATTACCGTTGCTAGAAATTCATCTGAATATTCAAAAAAAGTAATGATGGTTAAACAAACAAGCTTGGGGGTGTGTTTGGAGGGCTGTCTGTCCTGTGCATTGTAGGATATTTAGCAGCATCCCTGGCCTCCACCCACGAGGTGGCAGTAACACCCTCTCCCCAGCTGTGACAACCAAAAGTATCTCTAGACATGGCCAGATTTCTCCTGGGGCATCACCTCGGTTGCTCTCACCTGCTAGACCTATTGAATGCATGGTAGGCATATGTCAAGAACAACAAAGCCGTATGGAAATGTGGGTGCTGACTGGCCAGCTAGACTCTCCTGTTAAGACAATTCAAGTTGTGCTTTAGTAAGACGACTAACCAACACTAGTGGTGGGCCTTCAGGATTCTTGGCAAACGCAGTCAAACATGAGGGCTAATGGTCTCATACTTTGTAGGAAGGGAAGAAAATAAGGAAAGCACATAATTAGCCAAAATCTATAGCTCATGAACTTGGTTTGGTGCAGACAACTCTGTTATTTTCAGAATCATTAAATCATTAATAGTTTTTATCAAGTAGAAACAATCCCAGGCAAAGAAACAACTTTCCAATGCATGAAAGAGAGAATCATACAGACACCCATCATTCTCAGCAGCTCATTAAATGCAAACACACACACACACACACACACACGCACACACACACACACACACACAGAGAGAGAGAGAGAGAGAGAGAGAGAGAGAGAACCCATTTTACATACTTTTCCAGGTGTTAGTGTCAGTTAAAACTAATCTGCTAGTAGTACCCAGCTGTGGGTATAGCAAGGCATTACATAGGAGCATTTTTTCTCCCTCAACCTTTAGCTAAGATTTGGAAACTCAATTTTGCCTAAGTAGTGAATGTGGTCCATTTATAGTAATTAGCTTAGGTGAAACACCAAACATGATGAGTTGCTCATTCAGGACAGCCGGTCCATCGCACAAATGTGTCATATCAGGTATTCTCATGCCACTCATTGCCTGCATCAGTCAGTCGTGACCTTTGCATTAGCCTTTCAATAGGCAGTCATTAGGATAGTATCTTAACTCATCACTACTTGATGATGCATTAGCGGAATTAGACTGTTCTATATCAGTACAACAACCAAAATACTTTCTCATAGATTATGCATAAATACGCGATTTTGTCCATGTCGATGAATTTCATAAGAATGCTTTTTAAAAGTATACTTTAGATTCAAACATGCTTTCTAGATCAGAGGTTAGCTTGTCTTTTGGGAATGGTGAAGTCACTTATAAGTCAGCTGCAAACTATAGTTTCAATAATTCAACTGCTTAAGAGTTTCTGGACTGTTTATCAAAATATATTACAGAATGTGAACCTAAAGCTTAAAGTCTGGACCTTTGGTTTAATTTCTAGACATTCCAAAGCCCTTTTTTTTTTCTTTTCTGAAAAAAAAAAAAAAAAAAAAAAAAGAAAGAAACCCATTGTCTATTCTCTTAAAACTTCGTTAAGTAAATGGTACCTTGCAAATGCAGGCTGTGTCTGACCTTCCTCTTTTCTGTGTGTTGGTGCCTCAGATGTATTGTGTGCTGCTTGAACTGATTCTCTAGAATTTCATCCTAGTCTCAAGCTGGTGATGTGCTCAAAGATGTATCAAAATCCATGTAATGACACCATTTAGATGTTTCTAATACGTCAATAAATGATATATTGTAATCGTTTCATCATATTTTCCACTTTTTCTCAGTGAAGTCTCAATTATACGTATTACCATTTCCTTAAGATGAATTGACATGACTGCCTAGTAACATCAACTAAACACCCAACGTTTTATGAACACATAATTTACAAAATTAGATTGTAATCACACAAGCATTATGATCTCTCCTAGTTGAAGAAAAAAGCACATCCCAATAAAGGAGAGGTGCATTGCCACTCCAAGGGAGGAATTTCTTTACTTGCCCCAACTGCTCAACCCCCAGGGCTGCACCTGGCATCTGCTAGTGGCAGGGACGTATCCCTCCGTTGGCCCTGTTTCTAAAGTTCAGAAGTGTTCATGTAAGCTGATTTCCATGAGCTCTCATTCAAGGGCAGGACAGCGCGTATAAACTGGACTAGTTCGATGGTCTCTCTGGTCTCTTAAATTTTTGTACCCTGTACTTCAAATTTTATTCAGACTCCCTGATTCTCTGGACTGTTCCGATTCAGAACAGGTAATCTGGAGATTACCCTCAGGTTATCTCCTAGACTACTGAAATAAACTCAGTTAATTTAAAAAAAAGAGACTAGTTTTAGGACGTTTGTTCCCCCACTTCTAACTTTAGGAAAGAGGTCCATATTGTTTCCAAATCCTTTAAGCAGAGATTATGAGGCCTGAGAGTCTAATTCAGATTATTCCCAAGTAAAAAATCCTGTCAAATAAGCTCTACATATTATACCATTTCTATAATTACATTTACCAGAAATTTATCTGAATATTCCAAACAAAAGTGTTAATGATGATTAAACAAAACAAACGTGGAATTGTTTGGAGGGCTGTCTGTCTAAAGGCTTGGAGGTTTGGGGTTCCTTGAGTGGAACCTGCCCCTTTTCAGAGGAAAACCTTAGAAGAGAGTGGTGTACAGTGCCTCTTGGTAGTCAGGGCTGTGTTAGGTGTGGCAGGAAGGCATCTGAGTCACCTGCCTTGAAGAAACCCTACTGCTTGGATAATGAACACATCAGCATGGTTATTAGTGAGCATGAACATCAAAGGGCTCCCTGAACTTGAATGCTATGAACTGCTGAAGATCTCCACAGAACAGAGGGGGGCGAGGTTCATGATGACTGAGATGACTTTCTTTGTTAGAAGATGAACCTAGGATCAATTTTACTTTTACTAAGGAAAATTTAAAAACACGGACATACCTACATCCAAAGGTGATAGAGAGAAATTCATAGCACTCCGTCTGCTCTAGTCTGATTACAAAATGTCATGCACACAGTAGGAAGGACAGGGTCTGCATCACACAATTTGCCTGATGATGGATGCTAAAAATAAGAAATGGGCCTCCGGATATCAAAGGAGACCAGTGTTTTATAGCTATAACAATATCTCATGGCTGCAACATAGGGCAAAGAGTCTGACGATTCTCACCTGGACTCCTAATCTAAAAGTGATTCTGTGATCCAATCTAGCAGAGATTGTGGAAGGGTGCCTTTTGAAATCCTAGAATGAAAATCTAATGGTCCTCAATGAAGGAAAAGATAATCCTTATGCATGAGGATTGGAGGAAAGTGGAAGAGAAGAGAAAGAAGTAATGAAAAGATAGAAGAGGTGGAAGTCTGGACAATGCGAACCTGTCCAAATATCAGCCTAATGACATAAATCCACCTGGAACTCCCTTCTGGAGCCATCTCTCTCCTCCGGCAGCATCACAGACACTCCTGGCCTTGGACACAAAGGCTGTCTGAGAGTTAACGGTCTAAGTTAATTTTTTATTATCCTATTACAATTTAATAAGTTGTTAATCCTGGTTTTGCTGCAGTAGGCAATATTGGTTGTCTCCCCACTTTGATTCCTCCTTCTCCTTCCTATCAGATCCTGATTTTGTTCATGTAGCCACCTTATAACTTTGCAGCTTTTTTGATGCAAAGGAAGCTGACCCCTTCCCCAGCTCAAAGAGGAGTCCTGATTGTTCTAAATTAGTCATGGCAATTTCATTCTCCTTACCTGTGATTGGTTAAGGGCTCCAGCATAAGCCAGTCAGCACATGGCTTTCCCCTTGTCAATGCCTTAGATTCAGAGATGGGTACAGGACCTAAGTCAGACCAAGTGAGGGAATAAAAGGACATTTATCCCGTAACTGAAGGACATCCTTTTACTGGACATGTCCAAATACTCACTTTATTTATTTGCTTGTTTGCTTTGACAATCTTGTAACAATGGGAGGAGAGTCTAAAGATAAAGAAGGCAGAGCCAAGAGCCCAGCAGAGAAATGGATCCGATGATGTAATGCCTGGAGCCCACACCACCTCTGAGCTTCCTGTATGTGAGATAATATATTCTTGTATCATTTAATATAGCTGTAGTTAGTTTTCAGTTTACTTAAAGCCAAAAGCATCCTTATATCACTCACGGATTTGAAATGTCATCTTTATAATATGCTACATTCTTTATTTTAAAATTATTGAACTCCTCCATCCCATTCTGTTTCATTCTGTGACATTCCACTGATGTATTTGTTTTTCTGTACCAGCATCACAGCACAACATTTAAATCATTGTAGAGTTTCAATTTGCTTTCACAAATTGTGGGTCAAGTCCCCTCTCAGTTCGCTTCACTGGACAAATTATTTCTTGAAACCATTTTATTAAGTATTAAAATTGTACTGGGATTATGATTAGTGTTGTATGATATCATTTAGTTATTTGGTACTAATTAACATTTTTAAAAATATCAAATCTTCCAATCCAGAAGCATAAACTCTTACTCTACAGAGTTCATCTTCATTTTTAATCCCTCGTTAAAGTATTTAGATTTCTTCATAGAGATTGTTGTATAGATTTCTTTTTCATCCTATTACTAGGTAGTAAGTGTTATTGTGACTATGATACTTTTTCCCATGCTCTCGGATATTGCTGGGAGGATAGCATAACTTGATTTCCCTTAATGCGATTACAATGAAAATATCCATGAGACTTTTCATTAAAAATGACAAATGATTCCATAATTCATACAGAAGAGCAAAGAACTGAAAATAGCTAAGACAATTTTGAAGAATAGTAATGATATTTGGAAGATTATCATATCAGATGACAAGATTTTAAAAATATAGTAATTAAAATACTGTGATAAGATGCAATAATAGATAAACTGACGACAAAAACAGAACAGAGAGCCTAGAACACAACCTTGAATAGGTGGAAAATTTAGGTATGATAGCGGTGGCACTGCAGATCAATAAATGGTGATGAGAAAATTTGTTTTCCATATGAAACAAAAATGAAATTGGGCCCATACAGCATACATGTACAACCAAAATGAATAAAGCAAAACTAATACTTTGATTATGATTTTTTGGATTTGTGCTTATAAATGAGATTAGCCTAGAGTCTTCCCTTTTTATACTGTTTGTCTGGCTTGGTATCAGATTTATATTAGCCTCATAACATGTACTGGGAAATGATCCCTCATTTTACATTCTCTGGAAATGTTTAAGTTTGGAATGAAATGTTTCTTGATTGTGTACTCATAGGTTTTTCTTGTAAGTAGATCTTGCTGATAAAATCATCTGGACAAGGCGGGACTCTGTGTGTGTGTGTGTTTGTGTGTGTGTGTGTGTGTGTGTAAGTCTGTGTCTGTGTCTGTGTGTACATTAATGCGTGCACATTCATACATGGATGTGCATAGTGTGTAGGTACAATTATTGTCTTCATTCACAAATGAGGAAAACAAGGCTTAGAGGGATTAGGTGGCCTGGTTGAAGTTACTCAGTTGGGAAGCAGTAATTTGAGATTGGAACTCCCCAGTCTGGCAATCTGGGTCCGGAGCCCTTTCTTTTATCAAGTACGTGAGCTTCAGACTTTAAATACTAATCGCATTTACTTAATGGTGATAGGGATTCTTACGTTGGGTTTAGTGAAACCAAAACCCGAGACAGTGATTTGGGCTCCTGTGTTGTACTGAGGGAGTGATCTTCAGGGAAAACCTCTAAGGAAGATAGGG